CTGTTGTTGTTGTTATGTGCCATGGAGTCGGTTCCGACTCATAGTGACCCTGTACAGGGTTTCCGAGGCCGTAAATCTTTACGGGAGCAGAAAGCCTCATCTTTCTCCCGCGGAACACCTGGTAGTTTATAACTGCTGACCTTGAGGTTCGCAGCCCAATTTGTAACCACTACGCTACCAGAGCTCCTTGTTAAGTTGTGTAGGGTTTCCAAAAAGCACCTGGATAGTCAGCGTTTGCTCAAGCCTTTAAAACCAATCCGAATCTAAGTTTGGATAGCAAAGGAGAAAAGGTGGGCAGGAGGAGTGTGAGCCCGACACGATACTAAAAGTTCACCTACATTCGCTCTTTTAACGCTCACTGCAGTACTGTGAAGTCGGTACTATTATCACACCCATTTTACACAAAAGAAAATTAAATCTTAACTTCCCCAAGGTTTTACACCTAGTAAACTCCTTGCTGATTCAATTCTGACTCATAGTAACCGTATTGGACATAGTTGAACTGTCCCATAGGGTTTCCAAGGCTGCAAACCTTTATGGGAGCAGACAGCCTCATCTGTCTCCTGCAGATGGATTTGAACTACTGACCTTTCAGTTAGCGGCCAACTAAACCACTGTACTGTCAGAGCTCCTTGGAAGTGGGGGTCTAAATCCAGTTTGTCTGCTTCAAAGTCCATCTGTTATAAGATTAGAGAGCTTGTCCGGTGTCATTCTGAGTGACTCCTACCAAGTGTGGCCTTTAGTAGTCTTGCAAATCTGAATGATTACTTGACCCTAAGGAGTCCTGGTGTGGCACTGTGGGTTAATGCGCTGGACAGCAAGGTTTCTTTGAACCACAAGGTCAGCAGCTGAAGCTCACCAGCCATTCCTCTGAATCCCTATACAAGGTTACAGGGTCACTATGAGTCAGAACTGACTTGGCAGCACTTAACAAGATTCCTTGTAGGCATTGCAAAGGAGACTGAGCCAGCAAAAGAAACTGTGGAGTGACTAGTAGAGTGGAAGTTGAAGTCACGGGAGTTAAGAGAAGGCCAGAAAAGGTCCATGATGTCACAGAGTGCTGAGAGGTCTAGTACAGGAAGGGCTGAAAAGCGTCCTTTCAATTTAGTCATTAGATCACCACTGATCTCAGCAACAGAAACCAATGTAACTGGTCAGTTTTAAGAAAATCCCTGCCAAAATATTTAAACCAGATGTTCAGTTGTCTTCTAGGGCCACAAACTTTGATAAGGATGACAATTAAAATGTTTTGATCACATATGATACACCAGGCCTTGTTCTAACTGCTTAATTTGAATTTTCTCTTAATCTTTACTATGAGGGCATTGTTATTATCTCTGTTTTATAAATGAGGAAACTGAGGCTCAGAAAAGTTAATCATCTTTCCCAGTTTGGGCTCTAGAGCCAGAACCAATGCTCTTAACCACTGAGCAATGTTGTTAGCTGTTACTGAATGGGCCCCACACATGGTGATATCATGCACAACAGAGTGAAATGCTGCCTGGTCCTACACCATCCTATCATCAGTTGTAGATCGGACTCTTAACGAACTATGGGGTTTCATTGACTGACTATTGAAAGTAGGTTACCAGCCCTTTCTTCCTGGCCTTAGTTGGAAACCCCACTGACAGATGGGTGGTGGCTGCACATTGCCCGGGAATCAAGCTTGGTTCTTCTGCACAAAAGGCTCTACTTCTGATCCTCCAGTGTCCTTATCTGGCTAATTAAACTATTAAGAGTACACATTTATTATAACACTAAAATGATGGACTATGCAACAATATTAGTGAACCATGGTATTTTTATAACACATACTCTCATGGCCTTTAATAGAACTTCATCTATTTCTTTGTTCCTGTTGTCACCCCATCACACTGCCATATCCTGTGTTCCTTTTCTTTTTACCTAATTTCCTGCTTGTATAAAGGTGCATCCATGCACTGTCCTCAGACCCCCTTTCTTCGGGCATCTGCACGTCACACAGGAAATCAGTAGTGTCATTGGGACAGATTGCTTGAAACAACAGTTCACAAATGCCATACAAAACTCTCTTCCACTAATGCTGTCGCTTCTTCTCTGTGGATGTAGGACCCTCATATTCAGTCTCCTCTCTCAGTTTGCTCACACTTCGGTTTACGCAGAGACCTTCTCAGGTTTGTACGGATGCCACATTCCTGCCCTTTTAGACCCATTACAGACACGTACCTTACTGGGTCAGGGACACACAGTACTCCATGGAGGGATTTACCCAGCAGTCAGCAGCAGTCACAGTGATGTGGGAGGAGGATTTTAAAGACCCGAATGATCTGAGGCAGCAAAGCTTTGGGAGAATTCTGAGATTTGGACTAGCTCCTTCATTGCTGCCGACTATTAAGCTTCCCTTCTGTCTATGAAGAGGTCCTGGTGGCACAGTGATTAAGCTCTCAACTCTAACCAAAGATCAGTGGTTCAAACCCACAAACCACTCCATGGGAGAACGATGTGGCCGTCACCTTCAGTGAAGATTTACAACGTTGGAAACCTTGGAGCACTTCTCCTCTGTCCTTTAGGGTCACTGTCAGTCAGCAGCAACCTGACGGCAATGGAGTTTTTTGTTTTTTTAATCTTCCTAGAAACAGACTGTCACATCTTCCACGTAGTGATCGGTGGGTTCGAACTTCCTGGTTTCCAGATAGCAGTCGAGCACTTAACTACTGCACCACCAGGACTCCCTCAGGAGCTTGTTTCTGCCTGGTTTCAAAACAAGTGGCTTTTTGCGTATGAGGTGAGCTTGCACTCCAATGTCGTATGGAAACTACCACTCATTGCCTTCCTGTAGTTTACACAGGGAGACAAGAATTGGCAACACATGAAAACATTTTTCTTGCTGACCAATACAAACCTTCCTTTACCCTAACTTTGTATATCTATTCTAATGTTGTAGCTCTCCAGTCTGTATACCCATGGCCTTTGATCTTTTTATTTAGAAGAATTTTTTAAAAAGAGAAAAATCCTACAGTGCCAAATCCAATATTGATACTTACTTTTCATTTGTCATCCCAACCAAAGTTTGATTATTGTTGTTATTATAAATGTCATCGAGTCAGTTCCAACTCATAGCAACCCTGTATAGGGTTTCCAAGGAGCAGCTGGTGAGTTTGAACCGCCAACCTTGTGATTCAAACTCACCTTGCAGTACAGTGCTTATCCTATAGCGCCATACCAGGACTACAGATTCAATTTGAAGAACTCACCTCTACTAAACACACAAAGCCTAAAAACTATACCAAACTACCTTTGGTGTCTATGTTGTTGTTAAGCCCATCTAGTTGGTTCTGACTCATAGTGACCTGAATAGGATTTCCAAGGAGTGTTTGGTGGGTTTGATCCACCAACTTTCTGGGTAGCAGGCCAGTGCTTATCCTGCAGTGCCACACCAGGGCTCCATGGCGTATCTATGACGTTCTCAGATTAATTTCCTGAACTGCCTGACTTCCTTGCCCATCTGCATCTGACAATGCATCCTTCAAGACTCCGATGTTTTTCTCCAGGAAGCCTTTCCTAGTGCATTTACCCAAAATCATGTGTGTTTCAGTTAGAGGCCCTTACTGCCAGAGTCCCTGTGTGGTGAACACCGTTGACATGCTGACGTACTCACTGCAGTGTGCAAGGTTGGAGTCCATCCAGAGGCATCTGGGAAGAAAGACCTGGTGACTGACTTCTGAAAACTCAGCTATTGGAAAACCCTTTAGAGCACAGTTCTACTCTGAAACACATGGGGCCATCACAGGCCAGCATCAGCTCTATGGCAGCTCTAATTCTGGCTTCAGGACTGCATTTCTCCTTTCTACCCGTCTTTTAGACTCCTGGTGTGGCACTGTGAGTTAATGCGCTAGACTGCAAGGCCAGTTTAAACTGTAAGGTCGGCGATTCTAGCTCACCAGCCGCTCCTTGCAAACCCTATACAGGGTCACTATGAGTCAGAACTGACTCGATGGCACTTAAAAACAACACACTTCTCTTGGAATACTGGTCTGGTGCTTATAGGATAAGCACTGGATGGACCACAAGGTTGGTTTGAACTGTAAGATCTGTGCTTCAAACTCACCAGCTACTCCTTGGAAACCCTATACAGGGTTGATAGGAGTCAGAACCAACTTGATGGCACTTAACAACAAACAAGAGCAATACTTCTCTAAGGGTGCTCTGGTGTGGGGCTGTAGGGTAAGCACGGGACTACTGACTGAAAGGTTGGTGGTTCAGACTCATTAGATGCTCCTATGAAACCCTGTACAGTGTCAGTATGAGTTGGAACTCAACAACACATTTCCCTTTACTATGTTGGTTTGTGTATTTGTCTCTTCATTTAGACTGAGAATCCCCTAAGAGCAGGGATTATTTTTCTGTCGTCTTTATATTGTTACTGTAATTAATGTTCTCTGAAGTGTTATAAAAATGCTTGAATAAGGTGTTTTTCCACGTTTTCCCTGCTTGGTGTGTAACTTATGAGGACATATTTTGGCTCGATCATTTACTACTCTAAACAGACTTGATCCTACGTAAAACATTTTTGCTGTTATTAATTTTCTGAGCAAAACGTGGCATATTATAGTTTGTTGTTAAGTGTCCTTGAGTCAGTTCTAACTCATAGTGATTGTGTATAGGGCTTTCAAGGAGCAATTGGTAGGTTTGAACCACCAGCCTTCCCATTTACATTTCAGTGCTTAGCCTACTGCACAACACCAGGACCCCTGTTGTGGTGGTGGTGGTGATGTGCCATGGAGTCAGTTCTGACTCACGACCCTGTATAAGGTTTCCAAGGCTGTAAATCTTTACGGGAGCAGGTAGACTCATCTTTCTCCCATGGAACCACCAGTAGTTTTGAACTGCTGTCCATGAGATTAGCAACTTGACTCGTAACCACTACACTACCAGAGCTCCTTGAACTCCATTATAATTTAGGATATTTTTGTCATTTTGTTTCTGTTGTATTTTGTGATTTTGTTTCTGTTGCATTTCAGGGTGAAAAGCAACAGAATCATCACAGGTATAAAATTCTTAATGTCTTTCTTGTGGAAGGCTCCATAAAGGCCACTGTATATATGTATCCCTATATAGAGACTATTTAAAGTTAGTGATTGCTGTTAATACTGCTGCCGTGTGCTGTCCAGTTGGTTCAGACTCTTAGTAACCTTGTATCGTGTTCTCCAGGCTATAAATCTTTACAGGAGCAGAAACTTTCTCCCCTAGATTGGCTGGTGGATTTGAGTCCATTGGTGTAGCCACTTTGTCAGTCTGTCTTGTTGAATCTTCCTCTTTTTCACTGACCCCTCACTTTATCAAGCATATGTCCTTAAGTCCCTCTCCAGGGTGTAGAGTGATTAGGGGAACCTGAAGGTAGACCGACCTAGACCTAAATCTAAGTTCTGTCACATCTTGTATGATCTTGAGAATAAACCACTGTGAATTTAACTTACCTGAAACATAGAAGTTGCCCCTTATTTAATCAGTCTTTTTAAAAACTTATTTTATATCATTTATTACAAAGTCATTAAAAATTATTTTGCTTGTATAAAAACTTGGAAAGACCCAAATTAAAGCTACCATGTGGTAGCTGATCACAGTGATCAGCTGGCTTTGTTGGTGCAGAGAAGTGGGGATTAGCAAAAATCACTACCATTTTCCCTTAAATATTCCCACTTTACACAATGGTTCATTGTTGTTATAGTGAGGTCAGTGACTTAACTTGAATTTATGAATTAGCTTTTTAGGGGAGATTCTCATTTTAATCCAGTGATAGCTCTTGATGGCTATTTGGGCTTTTATGAGTCGGAACCAACTCCACGGCACATCACCACCACCATAGCACCCTAGAATGAAAGTTCAAAATCCTCTCTTTTCTTTTTTCATTGCATCTAGGTGACTGTTGTCTCTTCTGCTCCTGGGAAAGTGGTTTGTGAAATGAAAGTAGAAGACCAGCATACCAACAAGATGGGCACTCTGCATGGTGGTCTGACAGCCACCTTAGTGGATAACATATCAACACTGGCCCTGCTGTGCACAGAAAGGGGAGCCCCGGGAGTCAGTGTCGATATGAACATAACGTACGTATCCTGAGGTCTACAGTGTGCTTACTCACATCTAACAACTCAGACAAAACACATTTGTAACATAAATCGAGCATGGACTTTGCTTAGCTGGCTGGTGTGGCACTGTGGGCTAATGCGTCAGACTGCAAAGTCGTTTGGACTGCAAGGTCAGTGGTTCAAGCTCAACAACTGCTCCTTGGAAACCCTATATAGAGTCGCTATGGGTCGGAATCGACTAGACGGCACTTCACAACAACACAGCAATAGACTTGCCATAAAAATGTTCCAAGATCTTAAAATTTGTAACTAGAGCAGCTAATTTCCCAGTATCAAACCCATCCCAACCCATTACCATTGAGCTGATTCCGACTTATGGTGACGTGACCAGCCACTCCTTGGAACCCTATACAGGGTCGTTGTGAGTCGGAACGGACTCAACAGCAACTGACAATAACAGAGACAAAATACAATGTCCCCATATGCTATAACCTTTACAGAAGCACATATTCTGCCTGCAGAGCAGTTGATGGGTTTGAACCACACGCCTTTTGGTTAATAGCTGAGTTCTTTAACCAGTGTATCACCAGAATTCCTTCATTTCCAAATACAGTATGTATTGCCCGTTCAGAAAAGCATACATTTAACTTCTAATGTGCATACTGATCATCATATACTCACGGCTGATGACTTTGTTACAGTCCTTAGAAGTATTAATTGTACATGGAATCCATAATCTTAAAGAAATATAATTTAAAAGACATAGGCAGAGTCTTCATATGGCCACTGTAATCTTGTAACAAGGTGAACACTGGTGTCCAGGAGAGACCACAGTCCTGGATCTTTCCCTGAAACTCTGCAGACATGTTCTCTAGGGTCATACCACTCCATCAGAGACATCGGATTGTCGCATTGTGAATGTGTCTACAGAGTGTAGGCACAAAAGGTAAAAAATTAGGTTCTACATGAGTGTGGTTCCCAGTCCTGTTCCTAAAGGAGTTTACTTGCAAGACAATTGCTTTTTTCTGCCTGTTGTTGTTGTTGTTGTCAGGTGCCATCGAATCGGAACCGACTCAGCGACCCCATGCACAGCAGAATGAAACAATGTCCGATCCTGGGCCAACCTCACTACCGCTGCCACACTTGAGTCCATCAATGCTGCCACCTGGCTGATCCATCTTGTTGGGAGGTCTTCCTCTTTTTCTCTGACCCTCCACCCTACCCAGCATCACATCCTTCTCCAACAATTGTTTCCTCCGGACAACATGTCCAAAGTAGGAGAGACGAAGCTTAGCCATCCTGGCCTCCAAGGAGCACTCTGGCTGCACTTCTTCCAAAACAGATCTATTGGTTCTTTTGGCAGTCCATGGCACCTTCAGTATTCTCCTCCAACACCACAACTCAAAGGCATCAATTCTTCTACGATCCTCCTTATTCATTTTTCTGCCTAATCAACAGAAAATGTATTTATTGGAGAATAGGAGTTAGGGTAAAAAAGCCAAATGGAGATATGTAGGTTATCAGGTTTTTAACATTCTAAACCTTTTACTGGACTTCTAGTGTGGTGTTGTAGGATCAGCACTGAACTGCAAACTACAAGGTCGGCAGTTCAAATCCACCAGCTACTCCCTGGAAACCCTAACACAGGGTCACTATGAGTCGGAACCAACTCTGCAGTACTTAACACCAACAACAAACCTTTTATTAGACTATGAAGCATTCGGACCCCTCTTTCCTGTCGGGGGAGTAAGTTAAATTGAGGGCTCAGTAAGCAAACCCACAGGACAAGAGGCCGAAAAATGCTCTTTTGACAGTGGAGTCCTAGTGTGGTGCTGCAGGACAATGTACTGGACCGTTGGAGTAGAGACCTCCAAACTGAGCACTAGATTTCTTGACATTCTAAGATACTGCTGCTTTCACAAACCTGAAAAAGTAGTTCTGGCCTTTCCAAGTATGTGTTGCTCAAATGATTGGCCACCATCTAGAGCTAGTTGTTTAGTGCCGTCGAGTCGATTCTAACAGTGACCCTGTATAAGGTTTCCGAAAGGAGCTCTGGTAGCATAGAGGTTACGAATCGGGCTGCGAACCTTAAGGCCAGCAGTTCGAAACTACCAGCTGTTCCGCGGGAGAAAGATGAGGTGTTCTCCTCCCGTAAAGATTTACAGCCTCGGAAACCCTGTACAGGGTCGCTATGGGTCGGAAATGACTCGACGGCACTTAACAACAACAAATAAGGTTTCCGAGGAGTGGCTGGTAGATTTGAACCATCTATCTTGCGGTTCAGACCGACCTTGAGGTCCAGTGCTTTATCCTACAACAACAACATGATAGACTAGATACCAAGTGATACTTCAACTTGGAAGTTTAGCCGATTAAACAGAAAGCTAGAGGAATTATTTCACTGTTAACTACTTTCAAGTCAGTTCTGACTCATAGCGCTTAGGATTTCCGAGGAGCAGTGAATCTTGTGATTAGCAGTCCAGTGCTTATCCTACAGTATCACACCAGGACTAGCCTCAAATAAATATAAAATGGGAAACTTAAAAAGGGATGAGAAAACCTCTTCCTGTATTTAATAGAAAAATAAACATGTTTGTGGACATGAATGGGTAAATGATGTAACTTATATAGTCAGGACGAGTCATCCAAACTTGATGGGTCATAAAACTTGGTAATCTTCTCAAAATATGTTTGTTGTTGTTAAGTGTTATCGAGTCAGTTCAGACTTCCTGAGTTGCCGGTGGGATTGAATCACCCATTGTGTTTAGCAGTCCAGTGCTAGGAAGGCTTGTTGAGATGTACAGAGCTGTCCCTTTAAAAGAGTATGATCCTTTAACTGTATTTAAATTTGTTTCCTTTGAAGGTACATGTCACCTGCTAAAATAGGAGAAGATGTAGTGATCACAGCGCACGTCCTGAAGCAAGGAAAGACCCTGGCTTTTGCCTCTGTGGATTTGACCAACAAGGCCACTGGAAAGTTAATAGCACAAGGCAGGCACACAAAACACCTGGGAAACTGAGACTAGCAGTCTGACCTAGAGAACCTCCAGAGTGAACATCAAGTGTAAATTTGCCTTTAAATAAAGTGTCAAAATAAATGAGCACAACCAGAAAAAAATAGCTAAGAAATATTTTCTTTGGAGCAAAGACCGGAAATCAAGTGGGATAACTATTCCTATGATTTAGTTTTGTTTTTCCATTTTAAGCCTCTTTTATTTCTCAATCATGTATATTTACCTGGATGAAAAAATGTTTAGCTCAAAATGTACTATAGATTCAAGTACAGATAAAAACGTAGCAGGGCCACCTTGTGAAAAGATTCCTTTAAAACTAAAGTCCAGTGAAGTCTTGATATATGCTACACTATGGATGGAGAGTGAAGACATTTTGCTGAGCAAAACAAGACAATCAGAAAGGGACAAATATTGAAAGACCTCACTCATCTACAAAGAAAAAAAGGTAAAATGTACAGTGTTCAAAGTTTATTAGTGGTCATCAGGGGCAAAAGGGAGGATGGTCATTGGGAAAATTGCGTTAAGGGGAGGGTTGCACAGCTGATTATCATAATTATTGTTGTGTATCTGTAAAAAGATGAATTGGCAAAGTTGTGTTATATATTTGTAACAGTGACACAGACAAGAATAGTAACCGATGCCAAACAACCTTACTGGATTTGGTTCCCTGGAGGTTTGTTGTTGAGTACTGTTGAGTCGGTTCTGACTCAGTGATCCTTTATAGAGTTTCTGAAAAGCAGCTGGTGAGCTTGCACCACCGACCTTGTAGTGCAGTGCATTAGCCCACAGTGCCACACGAGATGTCCCAGTTAATTGGCCTAATAGCATATTTAGTACCTCTGTTGAGCCTACTAGTTCATTTCATAGTGTCTGGGGTCTTAAAAGGTTGCATGTCCTATCAGGCACAACAATTTGTCTCTAGTCACCTCATCAACAGAAGAGGAGCCAGGAATAGGAGGGGAGGATTCGAATGTGTGGCTGATTGCCTCTGTGAATAACTGCCTCCTTTGCAGTGAGACCAGCTGGATGGTGCCCAGCTACCAAACATACATTTTGATCAGATTACATGGAATTATGACCAAAAGGGGTAAAATGCAGAATAGAATTTTATGTTTTCATGGACTCCAGACTTTGTGGCACCATCGAGAATGGGTGAACCATGAAAACTATTGGCAAGACAATCTTTAAACCCTAACCAAAAGCATCCCTTGAAATCGTTTTATAACCAAGCACTAGTTTAGTTTAAAAGGAGCTCTGGTAGCATAGTGGTTAGGAATTGGGCTGTTGACCTTAAGGTCAGCAGTTCGAAACTACCAGCCATTTGGCTGGAGAAAGATGAAGCTTTCTGCTCCCGTAAAGATTTGTTGTTAAAGTGCTGTCAAGTCGATTCAGACCCATAGCCACCCTGTGTAGGGTTTCCAAGGAGCAGTTGGTGAACTTGAACCACCTACATTGCAGTTCAAACAACTTTGCAGTCTGACACAATAGCCCCACAGCGCCACACCAGGACAGCCTTGGAAACCCTGTATAGGGTCACTCTGAGTCAGAACTGACTCCCTGGCACATAACCACCACCACCAGTTTAATTTAACCAGTAAATAAAGGTCTGTCTTGAGCATTATACTGGGATGAACTATATGTGATCTAGTTAACGACAATTCACAGATTAAATAGGACTCATAGGGGCCAGTGAACTGAGGGAGAAGTAACTCCGAAAAGGTGAGAACAGATGCACAACTACAGGAATGTGTCATCAATGTCATTAGTACATGTGTAAACTGTTGACATAGTTATTTTCTGTATATTCTTAGCAACAAAATAAACTTATTTTAACAATTAATCCATAATGAATTTTAGGTCCTTCCTAGCTCTGAAATGTCATGCCACATTTATAAATGAATTTCAAGATCATGAAACCTCTGGTGGCGTAGTGGTTACATTTTGGCCCGCTAACCTCAGAGTCAGCAGTTCAAACCTACCAGCTGTTCCGTGGGAGAAAGATGAAGCTTTCTGCTTCCATAAAGACTTATAGTCTTGGAAACCCTGTACAGGGTCGCCTTTTTTGGAACCAACTTCACGGCACATAACAACAACAAATGACAAAAAGCCAGAAAAAAACATTTCCCGAGTTTCTTCCAGCTTTCATGGGTTTCACTGTGTAAGTCTGGCATCTTTTTTATTAAGAGGGGTTGGGGAGGCATACCATTAGAATAAAACCATGCAGATCTTTAATTTTTCAGCCTACAGTATTAAAAAGATAAATTCATAATGAAAATTTGGTAGTGGTTATTGGTGATAGTTGCACATAATGTAATTGGTCACTTAACTGTACACTTAATGGAGTCCTGGTATGGCATTGTAGAAAAAGCACTGGGCTGCTAACCACAAGGTCAGCAGTTCAGACCCACCAACTGAATGGCTTTTAACAGTTGTACACGTGAAAAATGTTAATACGGCCAATGTTACGTAGTTTTGTAACAAAAAACATTCACGAAGTTTAGTCTGTTTCGTTGGTAATAGCACTCTTAATATTTGATTTATCAGAGGGTGTTGGTCAAATTTCATTACTAGATTGAAAGGAAAAGCAACTTTAATTTGGAAACATTGTAGACTTTAACCCTTGCCAACCTGGTGTGGTGCTGTGGGTTAATGCGTCAGATTGCACAGCCATTTGAACTGCAAGGTCGGCGGTTCAAGCTCACCAGCTACTCCTCGGAAACCCTATACAGGGCTAGAATTGGTGTTGTCTGCTGAAAAGACAGATGCAGACTTCCCAGTAGCAATGAGCACACAGGAGACCCAGATCTTGATTTCTGGGATTTCCCAATAAACAAAAATCAATCAGTACCTACTGTTTAAGGCTGACTCTTTCTTAGAATGTTGTTACGTGTCAGTCTGACACAAAGGTGCAGCTGGTGTGTTGTGGGAGGGGTTATTAAGTGTCCTGGAGTTACATCCGAGTGATCCTGTATGGCAGGGGCTGTTGCTAAGTGCCGTTAGCGAACCTGTATAGGGTTTCTGAGGAGCAGCTGGTGAGCTTGAACTGCTGACCTTGTGGTTCAGAGTGACTTTACAGTACACACAGCGCCACACCAGGTCTCCATAGCAGGGGTGGGGACCTTTTTTTTCTACCAAAAATTATGACATTTGTTGTTTTTAAATGCCGTGGAGTCAGGTCAGACCCATAGCAACCCTGTATAGGGTTTCCAAGGAGCAGCTGGTGAGCTTGAACCGCTGACCTTGCAGTTCAAACGGCTTTGCAGTCTGGCGCATTAACCCACAGCACCCCCCCAGGACTCCCAACATCATTTGTGGGCCTTACAAAATTATCAACTTAAAAATTAGCAGGTTATGTTTAATTAGGAGTGCTTGTGTGGCACTTTATGATCAGCACTGGATGGTGAACCACAAGGTCAGCAGTTCAAGGTCACCAGCCGCTCCTCAGAAACTACCTAGGGTCACTGAGTCAGAACCACCATGACAGCACTTAGCAGCAACAATGTGCTGGCTGGAACTGGTTGCCTTGATGGGACCAGACCAAAAGATTTCTTGGGCCTTATATGCCGTTATGGCACTGTGGGTTAATGAACCACAAGGTCGGTGGTTCAAGCTCACCAGCCACTCCTTGGAAACCCTATACAGAGTTGCTATGGGTCAGAACCAACTCAACAGCACTTAATAACATACATCTTGGTGGAATCCAGCACTAGACCCCAAGATCAGTTTTAACCACGAGGTCGGTGGTTCAAGCTCACCAGCCACTCCTTGGAAACCCTATACGGAGTTGCTAAGTCTGAACCATCTGGATAGTGGCACTTAACATATGACACTTGGGGCCACATGTTCCCCACCCCTGCTGTGTAGGGTATATGAGGAGTGGCTGATGGGTTTGAACCCCAAACCTTGTGATTAGCAGTCTATGCTTATCCTATAGCACCACACCAGTTCTCACAATGAGTAACATCATATATTTAAATTTAAAAAAAAAAAGGCCTGTACTCTTAAGGTCATGAGGTATAAAGGTAGCCGAGGAGCTGTTGTAGATGGTAAGAGATTATCCCTGTACTTGGGATATAAACTGGATTACTGCGGGACAAGGAAGCAGTGTATGCAGCCAATTCTCAAATGGTTCAGCACAGTAACTGTGACAACACAGAGACTGAAGATAAATGTGTCCGGATGTTACATCGAATGTGGGCAAAGGCTATACAGGAGCTCTGCATTACTCTTGCAATATTTCTAAATTTGACGTTATTCCAGAAAAATTTACAGATGAAATAAGCTTAATTTGTCACACACACCTCAGTAAATGGGTAAGAGCTTGACTAGACAGCCTGGTTTCAACTCCTATACTATGCATGACAAGAGCTTGGACCAGTTACTTAACTAAAGCATTAGATTCCCTCCAGACTTGTCAAATGAGTTCAGAGCTTCAGCATATGAAATATCTGAAGTGCTCTTTCAAACATAATCTAATTCTCAACTAATCAGAGAACACCTGAAAGCATTTTGAAATTAAGAATGGTACTTTCTTTTCCATGAAGCAAGGTGTACGGACAGGATGATAAGTGTGGAAAGCTGAGGAAAATGCCTTGTTTGCTACAATGATCAAATTTACGGACCCAGTTACAAGGTTCCCAGCCAAATTTACTGTTTAACCCTAAGTTATAACCCCCCCACACACCCCCAAGCCATGATCATGGCACAGGACCAGGGAATATCTTGTTAAACACAGGGTCACCACCCGTGGACATGGACTGTTGTGATTTACAATAAAATAACATTTACCCCAGGACTTGGGAAAAAAGTTATCACTTCAAGTTTTGTGTATTCACCTGAACAGTCAGGGAACTTTCACCTAGTTTATTTAGGTTTTCATTTTTTCAAATTCCAACCAGAAGCTAAATACAATTGGAAACCGGTAAGCACTAGTTATACTCCAAAGGAGTAGGATCATTCAGATTTACTCCAGTAAGTATGCAACCCTTAAGCAAAGCTTTTCTTCATTTAAAAGAAAAAACAAAACCAAAAACTATACAGTAGTCTTTCCTTATGGTCATTGCACAAAATGAGTTCTGCTTTTTGACACTCCATTTTTTCAAAAACAACTTTAAGATCCGAACTTTCATAAAACTTTTCCACTCCCAGAAAAGCCCTCACAAGTTTTTCTTTAATATGGTGTAGAAACCAGTATTACGCACAATTCACTGAATTTTTTCTTTGTAATAAAATCTCTTCTCTTTAAAAACAAAAATGAAAATCCTCTATCATTGTTTCTGCAGCTATGAATGTATTCTCAGATAGCTACATTAGCTACTTCAGACTCCAGATCTGCTTTAATGTGTATAACTGTATCTACACGCAGCAGAATACTTTTATAACAGGAACTTGGGGAAAGAGATCTAGAAAAACAAAAAACCAACATATGAGTACCAGGAAACAAACATGGCCCAGTAAAATAGAAGGCAGAATGCCTATAATGAGATGCTTTTTTAATTTTAAGATTTCTTTCCCAGGGTTGCCTTTTTTTTTTTAATTAAAAAATAAAAAAAAACAAACCCAACCACTTCTGGTCATTAGAATGAATCTGACAGTGCTCTGGAACAACGGTGATTATAGCAAAGCTATTAAGTTTTGAAAAATGTTATTTATACCTGCTACATTCACTTCTCACCCTCTAAATACTGATGACAGATGTCAAAGAGGCAAAAACCAGCCTAAGTGGGAAGACCATCCACAGTGAGTACCACCTGGTGCTTTCAGCTACTTTCAGCATTTCAGTGTACAATAGTCCTTGCACTTCACATTTTTAGTAAGATGCTGATGCAGTGCAGCAAGTATGCAAAGCATCTTCTTTCACACAGTCCGTGCAGAAGACAGCTAATTTTTTTTAAGTTCTGAGATACAAACGATTTAAAAAAATCCAGAATGAACAAGTTTCAAAATGCATAGTGTTCTGTGCATGAGTCCATTTCCCTTAAACTCTGAAAGAATAAAGTGGTAAGAAAACAAGAAAAACATTGCTGCTGCCTTCTCCGATCTTCTCCACTGTGCTGGTCAGTGCTCTACTCTGGCATGTAAGGATGGAGGTGATCCTCCACGGTGCCAACTGCCCAGTGGGTGAGCTGCTCCTGGGGCAGGTAGAGGCAGATGCTGCATAACTTGAAGATTGTAGCTTTGTTTTTTGGAGTCTGGAATGGGAAAATTTTTAATATTCTTAGTAAAAATTTTAACAACAGTCACATAATCTTATAATTTGTTAAGTACCTATGGACACAGTAAAAAAGTATGTGGAATAAGGCAAGGAAAAATGGTTTCTACCTGTAGGGAACGTACGTCTTATTAGAAAGAAGCTTTACCATACAAGATACACAAAAGAAACTCGAAAGTATTAGCAGCTAAATCAAACTCTTAGTTTTAAAAACATGTAGCTTATGACAATCATGTGCTAGTGTTTTCACAAATAACTACTGTTATTAAGTGGGAGATAAAATCTGAATCCAGACCCAACGACAAAGCTGATTTCTTTTCCTTATACCAAACCCACTGCCACTGAATCGATTCTGACTCGACTGAGTTAACTACTCCTTTGGGTCTCCAAGTGGGTCCACCTGCTGACCTGGTGTTTAGCACTCCAACTAGACACCCCTAGTGTCACCAGGGTTCTCTTCACAAGAACCCAAAACCAAACCCACAGCCACTGAGTTGATTCCTACTCATATCAACCTTACGTAGAGTTTCTGAAACTAATCTTTATGGAAGCAAAGAACCTCATCTTTCTCCCAGAGTGGCTAGTGGGTTTGAACTGCTGACCTTGCAGTCCAGTGCTTATCCTGTAGTGCCGCCGAGGAAGCAATCTGATCTTCCATGTCTAAGGCAGTCTATGAATGTTAATGAACTAATACATATGCATAATTGCATTTCAATCATCACAACCTGTATATATCATTTGCTCAATGAAAGGGTAAAATTTGTGTTTATAGTGACCAAAGTTGATCAAGTTACTTAATTTCTTTCTTCTCCCAAAATGTAAAATACGGGTAATACAAATTCGCACCTCAGTGAGGATTAAACGAGTTTATATAAGTAAAGCACTTAGCCTAGAGCCAAGCACAAAATGCACTATATATGTGCTGGCCACTAGCATTATCATCTCCCTCATGAGCTCTTTTATATGATGCAAATCTGGCAACACACTTTGAAGTTATGAAAATTCTATAGTATAGCCAAAAGCTGGATGGAGGAAGAAAACTAAGTATTGAAGACTAAATTCATCCATAACTAGGGTGACCCACCAACTGCCCCAGGTACTGAAGGGTTTCCCAAGACTTGGAACTTTTGGTGCTAACAACAAAACATTCCAGGCAAACTGTGACTGCTGGCCACTCTACTTCCAATCCCAAAATAACTGATGAATTTAAAAAGGATTCCAGCTGTTTGTAAAGAAAACAGAAAACATCTAACCTTCTATTAAGAGGGTATGCTTACAGCAAATCAACTCTTTCAAGTCACTAATCACTTCTATCTAGTATTAATGATTCCACAGTATAGCCAATGTGAAAAGTTCCACTTCTCTTTACTATTGTTGTTAAGTGCTGTTGAGATGGTTCTGACTCATAGTGACCCTGTAAATGGTTTCCAAGGAGCAGATGGTGGGTTTGAACTGCTGACCTTGTGGTTTTGAGTCCAGTGCTGATCCTATAGGAGCACCACCCTAGAAGTCCTTCTCTATACTAGTGTACTGTTACTGTTGTTAAGTGGCGCGGTTAGCAGTCCAGTATTTATCCTACAGTGCTGCATCAGGGCTCATACTAGTACACTGTTGTTACCGTTAGTTCCGACTCATAGTGCCCCTGTATAGGATTTCCAAGAAGCAGCCAGCAGATATGAACTGCTAATCTTGTGGTGGTGGTTGTTATGTGCTGTGGAGTCGGTTCCGACTCATAGCGACCCTGTATAGGATTTCCAAGAAGCAGCCGGCAGATATGAACTGCTAATCTTGTGGTGGTGGTTGTTATGTGCTATGGAGTCGGTTCCGCTCATAGCGACCCTGTATAGGGTTTCTGAGGCCGTAAATCTTTACGGGAGTAGAAAGCCTCATCTTTCTCCCGTGGGACAGCTGTTAGCAGTCCATTATTAAAACTATAATAAAAATTTGTTATATATTCTGTAAAGTTAAGAAACTTACAAATTCAATAAAATTAGCAAATTGCCAGATTTACAAGATTCTCTCAAAAGATAATTAAATGAACATATACCACAAGCAATTAATATGTAAAAAAAATTATCTTAAAACACCTAGTACCAGGAGAGAGGAGGTAAAGAAGAAATTGAAAAAACAAACAAATACCTAAATGATATGGTTTTTCTATTAGTTCATCATCTAATAGATGAGGCTCACTGAACTTTCATCTTGCTTCTACAATTCTCACTTCTTTGATCTGTACCCATATCATACCAGATATGCTTAGGTGCAAACAAAAGGTTGGCATTTGGAGCCCACTCACAGGCACTTCATAAGATTCTGAAAATTCAGCAACTGAAAAATCCTATGGAGCAGTTTGATTCCAACATGTAAGGTCCTCATGACTCAGAACTGACTAACAGATGGTAACTGGTTATTAGTATTATAACACAATTACCAAACCTAAATTAACATTTCTGTTTCCTCCCACTGGGAGGTATTTTATGTGCTAATTTTTTTACAGTGGTATGTAATAATAATATACTTAAGAAAATAATTGGGGAGGGAGGAGTGTGAGCAGTTGACAAAACAGGCCTGTGCTATTTGCATAAAAATACGATGTGTAAACATGTAACTTCTCTAGTAGCCTGTCAAGTTTCTTCAAAGCACCAGTTCTGGTATAATTCATCTTTGTCTTTTGCAATCTTGCACATAGACAGTCTTAAGTTTATTTAAAAATAAACATATTTTATCTATTTGTTTTTGGTGGGAGTGTAGTTTTAAATTATTTCAGTGAGGTCATCTAAACTTTCAAACTCCCCAATAATGTAACTTCAGTCCTGCTTTCTTTTCCCCTCAGCACTTATCAGCCTAACATCTAATACTGTATCTTTTACGTATTTATTGCTACGTCTCCCGCACTGCAGTAAATTCCATGAAGGCAGGAATTTCTATTTTGTTCCTTGTTATACGGTGCCTGGCACTTAGTAGGTACTCATTTATTAAATGGTAAATTAGAATGATTTTTAGAAGCTGGTAACTACAATGCAATAGCTGAGCAGTTGGGATCAAAAGGGAAGCACATACTTAAGGACAAACTTCAAAAGGGAAGCACTTACTTAAGGACAAACTTCAAAAGGGAAGCACTTACTTAAGGACAAACTTCAAAAGGGTTGGGGGAGTAGAAGGAATGGAAGCAAGAATGTAAAACTGACGATCTGCCCTGTACACCTTCACAGAATTCACAACAAAAAGTTTTTTAAAAAGTTAATAGCTTGTAACAAATGTCTGAGGATCTTGTTAAAATGCACTCTCCTTACGCCCAGAGAAGGGTCTGAGACTCTACATTTGTAACAAGACCCAGTTGGTGCTGACCTGCCCACTACACTTGTGGCACCAGGGCAAAGATTCTCCAACTGCTGGAGTCGCCACTTTTACAGCTTCCCACAGAGCTCTAATATACACCAAAGTTTGGAAACCAAGGACACAGCAAAGTTTTTTAAAAAGGAACTTTAGGGGTACATCAAGACTACATATTGTAAAGAAAAAGTTTACTAACCAATAAACAAGTATCTTCAAATAAGCCTTTAAGTGGTTTACAAAATAATAATAATGCTTATTACCTGCAAGTGCTGTCTGTCAATGAAGAGAAAGACTGACTGGTTAGGATTGTTGACAACAATTCCAGTCTTGTCCTTGCGGCTCAGTACATGCAGAAACTGTTTCTCATAGTCACCGTGATGAAACTCAAATTTGGCCTACATAAGAAATATAAACATTTCTGTGTAACTACAAGCGTGTTACACTACTGTATACCTGTATAACACCCATAAGTATTTGATCTGCGCAGTCCAGCTGGCCATTTAAATAAAATTTAAAAATCAGTTCTTCAGAACACTAGTCATATTTCAAATATTCAATAGTCACCTTTAGCTAGTGGCCACTATTTTGAACAGCCTCTTATATATCACTCCATTATACAATATTACCTGCAAGAAAAGATCTGCACCAAAGGGATCAAATCCTAACACTGTCAAATCAACTGCAATACTGTCAGTAACCGGAGTTCGTATATAATCACAGGTGTGCTGGTGTGGCACTCAAGGGTAAGCACTGGACTACTAACCACAAGGCTGGTGATTCATACCCACCAGCTGCTCCAGCACCACACCAGAAGTGTGAAACTCTACACAGGGCTTGCTATGAGCTGGAATCAAGGAATCAACTTGATGGCATGATGAAACCCCAGAGAATCTTATTTTCAAACCTACTCCCCATTTAAGATTCCCAGCTTACACTTTCAAATATCAATGACATTTCCCTCCTTTTTATGATATCAAACAAACACTATGATGGCATTTGGAGAGAAATGTTTATTCGAATTCCAGATACACATCTAATTAGCTACGCTACTTTATAAAGAGCCCATAACTTTTAAATTTTAGCTTTCCTGTATACTAAATAAGGCTTTAAACCCAGTTTTCACAGGGCATTTAAGAGGACCAAATGAATAATGTAAAGCCAACCCTGAATACAGTTCCATTCTTCAGACAGATGGGCTTTATAGGGTACTTATGAGGGTTAATGCCGTTTGAACTACAAGGTCAGCAGTTCAAACTCACAAGCCAGTTTGGAAACCCTATGGGTCAGGACTGACTCAATAGCATTTAACAACAATATGAACCTCTTGAAAAACAATTTGTAAATAGGATTTGAAGGACCTTTTTAATACACAGTTAGCCTCAGGTCTCACCTACTCCTCACTTATCAGCTCTCTCGTTATCCAACATTTCACTTTACAACCAGAGTTCGTTCAACTTAGTTGGACCATGATTCTCAGTGGTTTGGAAGTTACATAATGATATTAGTCATCATCCATTTTTGCTTACTACTGATTTTTCACAATGACCTGATCTTTGAAACTAAGCATGTCCATAAGGAAGGAGTTGTTGTTGTTGTTATGTGCCGTCAAGTCGGTTCCGATCCATAGCGACCCTGAACAGGGTTTCCGAGGCTGTAAATCTTTACGGGAGCAGAAAGCCTCATCTTTCTCCTCCAGAGCAGCTGGTAGTTTCGAACTGCTGACCTTGCGGTTTGCAGCCCAATTCGTAAGCACTACGCTACCAGAGCTCCTTTAAGGAAGGAGTGTAGTTGTTGTTGTTATGTGCCATGGAGACAGTTCAGACTCATAGCAACCCTCCACAGGGTTTCCAAGGCTGTTAATCTTTACGGGAGCAAAAAGCCTCATCTTTCTCCCGTGGAGCAGCTGGTAGTTTCGAACTGAGGACCTTGCGGTTCACAGCCCAATTCATAACCACTACGCTAGGAGTAGGTGCATTTTTAAAAAGTTTTCAAGTTATAAAGGACTATTAAGTCAGAAATTCCAAAAATCTAAGATGGTCAATTCCACCCTCCTACAAAATTTCTGTCATTTAACACTGGTGGTGGTGGCTGTGTTTATGTGCTGTGGAGTCGGTTCCGACTCTTAGGGACCCTGTACAGGGTTTCCAAAGCTGTAAATCTTTACCGGGGCAGAAAGCCTCATCTTTCTCCCATGGAACAGCTGGTAGCTTTGAACTGCTGACCTTGAGGTTAGCAGCCTGACTCGTAACCGCTATGTTCCAGTATGCTAGAGGAACTCTGTTCCTCTAGTTCAACACTGAAAGAAGCCAAATGCTAGGTGAAAAGGCCAAGTTTAAAAGTTAACTTAGATTTCAAGAAATGTCAGAGATCTCATATCTAATATTTATATACCAGTGTATTGTAAATGAATGGTTTATTAGGTTTAATTTTTATTCCTCTATTATTTCAAAGGAGTCCTGGTGTGACACTGTAGGATAAGCACTGGACTGCAAGATCAGTGGTTCAAACGCATCAGATGCTCCTTGGAAACCCTACACAGGGTCACTATGAGTCAGAATTGACTGGCATTTAACAACAACAACAACATATACCTATTATGGAGCCCTGGTAGCACAGTGTATTACCAGTTGGGCTGCAAACCATAGGTCAGCAGTTCAAATCTACCAGTTACTCCTTGGGAGAATGATGAGACTTTGTACTCCCGTAAAAATTTACAACCTCAGAAACCCTAAACAAGGTGGCACACAATCACCACCATTACATATTGAAAACTATGAAAAAGTTATTTCAATCCTGGGTGCTCATCTACTTCAGGTAAGGACAAACACATGCAAACAAAGTTTGCTTCAAATCCTTTTCTATGTTAAGACGTGGCTTCTTTGTGAAACTTTAAATTGGGTTATCACAGTACTACAGGAAGAAAGAACGTACAGAGCATGCAATGCAGGAACATTAGCAGGCCATACTAGGACAGGGTCTTAAAGGATGAAAAGAATTTGCCCAAGGGAAAGTCATAATGTTTGGTGCTTTGGAAAAAATGCCATTCTAGGAAATAGGGCCAACATAACTATGTTGTTGTTAAGTGGCGTGGAGTTGGTTCCGACTCATAGCTACCCGGTACAGGGTGCCCAAGGCTGTAAATCTTTATGGGAGCAGAAAGCCTCATCATCTGTCTCCCGCGTAACAGCTGGTAGTTTTGAACTGCTGACCCTGAGGTTAGCGGCCCAATTCGTAACCACTACGTTATCAGAGCTCCTTAACGGAAGTAGAAACTGAATGAAAATACCACATGTATCCCAATACTACAAATACTAAGGGGGTAAGATAGAGTTCAACTTAGTTGGAGCAGCACATCATCACACTGAAGAAAGGTTTGAGTGAGACTGAAGAGCACCTTACATAGAATTTTATAGCATTTCAATTCTATCCTATCAAAACTAGGGAAGCAAGCAAATTTGAGAAGAAACGGTCCATGGCAAAAAGGTAAGTCCATGAGCAGCATAAGCAACCCCAGAAGGAAAGTAATGAAATCAACGAGTGAGATGAGGAGACAAGCTGGAGCGGTAACATGAGGGAATATATCCTAACACCTCCCAGAAACTTTGTAATTGTCTGAACATACCAGGAATTTAATATTTAAAAACAATCTTTACTCAGAGTTCCCAGCAACAGTTCCAAGGCATTTAGATTTTAAAGTGAAGAATTAAAAAAAAAAAAAGTTTGTAAAATTAAATACCTTGTATCTGCTTACCTTCAAAAAGTAGTTGGATATTCATATTTAAAGCTTTTCAGTCAAGTATTTTTTTAAATTTTCAGGGGAAAAAATTAGTTTACATTGTTAATGTATTTACTCCAATGGCATTCTAGTGTCGAAAAGTCATTATCTATTGCTTTATATTCAGTCCAGGATTTAAGAGGTTAAATAAAACGGGGAACTTTTCATAGTCCAGTATAAGACTATACCTTGGGTCTATTATTTACCTAATCTTTAACTATCAGAAGGATTAAGGTATAATGTATGAAAAAGACTTAATACAGTGCCTGTTGTTGTTGTTGTTAAGTACTGTGGAGTCGTTTCCGACTCATAACGACCCTGCACAGGGTTTCCAAGGCTGCAAATCTTTACGAGAGCAGAAAGCCTCATCTTTCTCCCGTGGAACAGCTGGTAGTTTCGAACTGCTGACCATGAGATTAGCAGCCCGATTCCTAACCACTATGCTGCCAGAGCTCCTTAATACAATGCCTAGCACAGTCAAATCTTAATAAACATTAGGCATGATTTCATAACAATGTAAAACATAACTTGAGAGAAGACTCTGTTTTAACTATTCCAAATAAGGTCCCAGAGGGAAAGATGAAACGGCAGGGTGATAAATGAACCTATAATTAATTTTCCAATGGGAGATTCTGGATTAAAAAAATTTTTTTTAAATCTTAACAATACTCCTTAAAAGTAGTAAGAATTGAAGTGTTTGCAAGATCTGTCTGATAACTATAAAAATGGTTTTTCCATTCCTATATTCCCTCTCCTTTTATGTTCATCTTACATTTGCTAAAATATCCATGTTAATCAGATTTCTATTAGAAGACACATATATGATCGTCTTTGGGTGGTACAAATGGTTAACATGCTCTACTACTAACTAGGTGTGAGTCCATCCAGAAACATCTCTGAAGAAAGACCTGGCTGGCAATCAATCTACTTCCTTCCAAAAAGTCAGCCACTTAAAGTACTAAAGAATAGTTTACTGTGGGGTCGCCATGAGTCGTCGCAACCGTTTCATATAGTGATAAACTTGTTGCTATTCAGCCCATTCATCATCTTGATGGCTTTTTTCTACCAAATTAATTCTTAGAAAAATATGTGACATCATCATATGGGCTGGGGGAGTATTCCAGTTGATATAGTATGTCACACACAAAACACCATAAAGATCCTTCACAGTAATGGATGGATGCAAATTCTCTAAATGGCAAATAGTTTTCATACTCCTAAACAATTAGCTGAAAGTCTCCTAGTATGTAAATTTCATGTCATTATTTCTTAGTCTTTTCTGATAATAAAATATATGTAAGCTCATTACAGAAAATTAGGAAAATACAAACGGGCTTAAAAAAAGTCATGAAAAAATGGAATAAAAAGATAATGTAACTATCTTTTAAAGACCCCTTGCATATATATGCATCTTTCAAGTATTAAAAAAGCTACATATACAAGTCCTAGAACTAACTATAATGAAGATTTTGATGGATTTCTTCCTTTTTCCTATGCTAAGCTACATATTATAAATAGGTTGTTGTTGTTGTTAAATGCCACAGAGTCAGTTCTGACCCATTGAGACTCTGTACAGGGTTTCCAAGGAGCGGCTGGTGAATTTGAACTGCCAACCTTGCAGTTCAAACCAACCTTATAGTCGAGTGCTTGTTCTACAATGCCATACACCAAGATTCTAAAACAGAAGCAGCTGGTGAACTTGAACTGCCAACTTTGTGGTTCAAAGAAACCTTGCAGTCCAGTGCATTAACCTGCAGCACCACATCAGGACTTCAAAACATAGGTTAAGTGCCCATATATTAACACTAGAAATCGTCAAATACATAAAAGACAAGCTAGTCAAATGTTAGAAAGATGTCAAGGAAAGTTAATTATAAGTAAATTACTACTTTACTTCTCCTACAGTTTTATGTACACATCTACTTCTAGAAAAGGGTTTCTTAGATCACACTCGTTCGAGAATGGGGCTAGTTAACTCTATCAGGAGTGGAAAAACATATTCTGGACTACAAAGCTAGTTTGAACCACAAGGTGGGCAGTTCAAGCTCACCAGCTGCTCCTTAGAAACCCTATACAGGGTCACTAGGGGTAGAAACCAACGTGTCGGCACTTAGCAACAACTATAGCTGTTCTGAAGCTCTCCCATGGGTGTCTCTATAGATTAACACATGTCTATAACATTTTCCATATTTCAAAGACTGTTGGGTAGTCATTGTTAAGTGCTATTGAGTTGATTCATATTCATAGCGACCCTGTGTGAGGTTAAGGAGCAGCTGGTGAATTTGAACCACCAATCTTGAGGTTCAAACTGATCTTGTGGTCCAGTGCTTTACCTCACAGACTCCTTAGTTGCAAGAGACTGTATATATGCTTTCTCCTCTTACAACATTCAAAGACAGGAGGGACCCAAGAAACAAAACTTTTTAGTAAGCATATTCCGTAAGTATTTCTCAAGCTAGACTACATTGTAGGAGTTTTCATTTATTTAAGTGTGTATCATACTTTTATACAGTAAGTACCTGAACAGGCCTAAAAGGCTCATCAGATTCCTTCCACCTAGAAAACAGGAGACAGACAATTTTTTCAATGTCATTCCGAGGCCAAAGAATGAAATCCATCTCCTGAGTACAGCCAATTACATCCTAGAAAAAGAAAAAAGGAAAAAAACTTACCCAAGGAAATGTAAAACAAGCAACATAACATGAGAGGGTTTGACTCTAAAAATGTTTTGCAAAATATAATAAAAAAAAAATTTTTTTAATTACCTCTTTGGAATTAATACAAGACAGCACACAATTACAATAAACTGTATCCAGTAGAGTCCACACATAAGTCACTCAGTCCAATGTTTCTCACGTCAAGGCCTATAAACTCAAGCTCCAACTAAGATTTGAAAACCCTAAACAAGGGTGCTATGAGTGGGAACCGACTTGAAGACATATAACCACCACCAACCAATTCCTTGTTATGGCTGAAATGCTCATTTTGTTGTTTGCTTACAAAACCACCTTTTCTCCATTCTTGTTCCCCTTCATTACCACCTCATTTTCTAGGCCAGTAAGTCTTTCCAAGACCAGTACATGGCTATCTCCAGTCTTCTAACACATCACAAACAGTGAGTATTGCAGAACTGGACTGCTAAGCACAAGGATGGTGGTTCAAACCCACCAGCTGCTCCTTGGAAACCCTATATAGGATTGCTATGAGTCAGAACTGACTCAATAGCACTTAGCAACAAAAACATTGCTTAGGTAAACCCAGATGAGCTATCAAAAGTGTTACAGAAGTTTAAAAGTTTAGTACCAATGATACCAACTTAGTGGCACATACCAATCAGTTAGATAATGGTGGTGGTGGTGGTGTGTTGTGGAGTTGATTCCGACTCATAGTGACCCTGAATAGGGTTTCTGAGGCTGTGAATCTTTACGGGAACAGAAAGCCTCATCTTTCTCCAGAGGAAACTGGTAGTTTCGAACTGCTGACCTTGAGGTTAGCAGCTGGCCTCATAACCACTATAATAGTAGCTGATAATGATTCTACCCCAAGAAGACTATTAAAAATGGAAGCTCATTTTACATATAAAAATGGTTGAAATGGCAAATGTTTACTTACCCACTTTAAAAATCTTTTAATCTAAATTCATTTACTTTAATATATTATTAACTGACAAGACCTACCATATTTTATAGACTTTGTAAAAAGAACCTTCATTTCTAGTTATCCATTTGTACTGTTACCTTAATAACTACCCACTTTATGAAGGTAAAAAAGCAAGCTTAGTGCACCAAAAACTTACCCACCAAACTAAGACTTCAACTCGAGCTTACCCTTCTCATAGACTGGTATCGAGGAGCATGGAGCTGTACTACGTCCTTCTGTAAAAGCTCTATGGAACTTTCCAAGGAATAGCTGGAATCTCGCACACCTTTCAGGATATTTTCTTCATAATTATTTGTCATGACTGGTATAACTTCAGACACTTCAAAAAGTGCCGATTTTTTCTTCTAGAAAAGAAATAGTAAAATGATATATTAACTACCTTTTAACTTCCAATCTACATAGCAATGTTAAATACATTATTTCAGCAAAATTCTTAACTAAGGTAATATCCCCCCTGAAAATGCAGATTTTCAGACAGGCTGATTCTTTTTATCACCCCCCTTTGCCCTCTAAACACAGATGCTACTATCAGAATTTTCAACTGTCCAGTTGTACAGTATTATAATAATATTCATAGACAATACTGATTTTAGAAGACTATTTTAGGCAGTAATAGTTCTTAAATACTATAAGGAACATCAAACACTCCTAAGGCTAAAAAGCATAACAAAAATCAGTGACATAGTATTGATGTTATTCTACTGAACAGGTTCTACACACAACTAAATTAAAACTTCAGGAGTTAAATATTTTTTTTAAAAAGCTATTCAAAGTTAATTGTTTTACTCCTTACATGGTTCAATCTCTAGTTCTCTTTCGGGATATTATATAAATGTTCAATATTTTAAAGTAAAGAAATAAATTCTACCAAAACTGAGTTTCAAAATTAATACAACTGCTCATCATCAACTAAATCCATAAAACTGTGTACCATAGAGTATAATCTATGGGAATTGATACCATCCATTCACAGAATAGTTTCCACAGGTGTTAAAGAACTAGATGGGACAATCTGGAGCATCCTCTATATTTAGTACAAAGCTCTAGCCTCATAACTTCTACCTTAGATTCATTTTCAAGTGACCCTACTTATAATTCCTTAAACCAACATTGGAGCCAATGAATTATTAGTAAAAAGAGATAATGGGGAAGTAAAATCTTGGTACTATCTGATCTTGTGACAATCACTTTAAAACTTCAAAATAAGTAATTTTCTTTACACTGCTGTACTCATCAGCTGGAGTCCTGGTATGGTGCTGTGAGCGAATGCACTGCAGAGTCTATTCAAACTACAGAGTCGGTAGTTCAAGCTCACCAGCTGCTCCTTAGAAACCCCATTCAGGGAGGGTCACTAAGGGTCCTAACTGGCTTGACAGCCCTAACAATATTTATCAGCTAAGAATATTCCCAAATGCAAATAACCATTAAGAGTGAAAAGTGGAGTAAAAACCTAGGAAACTCCCCAAAAAACTAAACAGATACTACACTAAGATTGCAACTTGGATCTGAAATTTGCTCATAATTTAAGTGCAAAACTCAAAGTAGTATTTCCTTATACTCAAAACCTATTCTCAGGTCAAATGGCCTTGCTCTTTATTTTATAAACTGTCCATCTTAAGTTAAAAAACAATTACTGCTTACTTATATTACATTCTCCTTGACCATAAGCACCTATTTTCTACTTAACTGTAGAACTCATTCTAAAATGTCCTCTTAAAAGACATTTTGAATTTCAAAAAATTCAAATTCTAAAAACCAATTAACCATTACAGTATTTAAGTGCTCTAAAAATTATAGTCTATTAAGTACACCATGAAAAAAAGGTAACTATCATGAAGTTGTAAAAAAGGTAACTATCATGAAGTTGAAAAAACATTTGAATGTTTTGATTCCTACTTAACACTTTCAAATAGCTTATTTATACTTATACTTTACATAAAGACAATTTTTAAGTTCCATTATAAAGCACTGTTATAAGGTAGGTTTGAAACATAAGGTCAGCAGTTCAAACTCACCAGCCGCTCCTTGGAAACTCTATTGTTAAGTGCCTTGGAGATGGTTCCGGCTCATAACAACCCTGTAAAGGGTTTCTGAAGAGTGGCTGGCTGGTGAGTTTGAACCGACAACCTTGTGGTTCAAACTGACCTTGCAGTCCAGTGCATTACCCCATAGCACCATACCAGGACTCCTGGAAACTCTATACAGGATCATTTTAAGTCAGAACTGCCTGCAGGGCACTTAACAACAGGGAGTAACTTTACACACACTAAATTTTTACAATGTTACCTACCTGAGTCAATTAAAATTCGGCCCTAAACTTTAGAATTAAACTCCTTTCAAATCAAGGAATGCTCAAGGAACTCCCATTCAGTTATACAGCACTCAGCCCAGAATTAGCTACCCATGAAAGATAAAGCATACAAAGGAAACTGTTTCAAACACTCATATACCTAACAACATTCAGTTATTTAAGAGTAACAGCTAAATATACTTACAAAAATCACTTGTACTAATTCAGATTTTTAAAGAACTTTAAATTACCTTCTCCTTGAATACAAAGGCAATATACATCTTGAAGTCAAACTGGTCAGCTAGAGATTCTTTTTTCTTTCTAAGCTGAGCACGAAGTCTGTTCAGAGCTTGTTTCTTCCGGGAGTTTGGGTCCCCCATTTTGAAATACAGGTGGTACTAAAGCCTTTGGAAATTGTCACTAAACTATGGGCACTTTTTCTTAAGACTCAAGTACAACAGAAACAAGTCATTTTTCCCCCTACTAATATGACGGAATAGCTAAAATCACAACTGTAACCCAAAAACTGCACCTTCTGGCAATATTAGCAGACTGTCATATTACAGGGTCAAGAAACAAAAGCTGGTGTCCAATCATGTTTGGACAATAACGTAAGTTTGGGGTCAGATGGGATAAGGGAAGGGGGGAAAGGAAAGAAAGAGGAGAAAATACTTGAACTAACTTTTTGGAAAACACATTTGGCTTAATTGCCAAACTAAAGGCTTTGGGGGAAATGAAAAAAGCCTCTTATCAGGATTTAGGTGTGCAATAAAACACAGCTGACTCCAGTCCAAAAATCCTTACAATCCATTCGGGGTTTTTTTCCCCCCTCTTTTAAGAAAAGATTATGAAAAGGAATGGAAAGGGGGAAATGTGATCCTTTAGCTTTCCAAATACAAAAAACAAAAACAAAACACCAAAATAGGGCAGGTGAATGAAACTGAAATATGCAATTGGATTTTACCCAGCCAGATCCATGGCTGTAGTACCTAATTAATTCTTAGTTATTTCAGATTTCACTATTGCTATGTAACGTCAGTGCTTGCTATTCATTACACTTGGTGGTGAGCAAAGAGAAAAGTGCAAAATCGGTCACGAAAGGGGAGAGGTACAGGGATTCCCTGCAGTCAACTACAGTGTATACCGGGGGTGGGCAGCTGTTGCCCAAAGGAGCCATGAGAAAAAACAGCGGAGTCATTACCAACTTCCCCATCACCCACATTTTCACCCTCAGGCGGCTGCTAATGCTGCTGCCAAGGAGAAGCATGATGGCAGAGGGTAAGAGGGGAGATAACACGATATAATAATTATTCCCGCTGGTGGTTAGACCTGATTAATGCCCGGGACCCCAAAACCCACAACCCTGCAATGAGTCCTACATTCCCCAAGGGAGCCTTCTCTACGAATCTGCCCCCACTTCAAGATGGTGGGGAGTGTGATTTATCTTCTTGTGAGCATTGCTGAGGGAAAGGTGGCGGGTTCTTCTCCTAAATCCCAGGCAGTGCCCTGAGACCACCTGCCTTTCACCCCCCACCCCAAATCCCACCCCCACCCCTTGCCTTCAGAGGCAGCGACTCACTCGCACCAGGAGAGGCACAGGGTCACTCAGGGTTTCACTCATTTCATCATGGAAACAATTCCCGCCCGGGTAGAGTAGGCGGAAGAGGGTAATCAGGTAGGATGAATGGGAATAAAATAAAGTAATTGTGTTAATATTAATTACTTTTTAAAGTTAAGCCCACCCCCCCAGAAAAAAAAAGGAAAATGAAGTTCCCAGATTCCGAATTTGCTCGCTCTCACGTTGAACAGACCATGTTTCCCGAGTTTGGGGTGGGGTCGTTAATTTTGTCCCCCCCAAGGAGGCAGGGGGTTAAACTGCTGCTGCTGGGGAGAGGGTGGGTGACAAGGCAGTCCCCTCCCTGTCCCCGCGGAGACCGGGACTCACTGACCGACTCTCGGGCGGGGTGCGGGGCCCTCTAGCCGCAGCCTGCAGGCGGAGCGGTGGCGGCGGCGGTGGCGGAAAAGGCGGCGGCGGCGGGGGCGCTGCTCGCGGCACGGGCAGGAGCCATGTCAAGAGAAAACCACCAGCCAACTGAGCCCCTCCATCCCCGCTGCAGTGCGCACTGTGACCGGGCCGCCCGCGCTGCTGCCGCCGCTCAGCCCCCACCTGGGACCCATAGTCTGGCTCGGCGCCCCGGGCGGCGGCGGAGCGGAAGGACGCGGAGGCAGCGGCGACGCAGAGAGAAAGGAGAGGAGGAAAAGGGAGGAAAAACAGGGGGGGTAGGAGTGGTACAGGCGGCGAGGGGGAGGGGAGGAAGGGGAGGGGAAGCCTGCACTAAGGGGTCAGTCAGCAAAGTAAGCCCCCCCAATAAAGTTATTTCAGTTCAAGCATCTGCTCTCGAGTCTTTCTTTCCCCCCACGGTCGAGCTCCGGCTCTCAGCAAAGGCCGACGAGACCCCAGGAAGGGAAAAGCCGAAGCGGATGGTGAGCGTCCGCGGTGACACAGTTTCGTTTCTCCCACCGGTGGCTGCGGCAGCGGCGGCGATGGAGCAGCAGCTTCGGGAGCCTCCCGGGTCCGGGGCAAAGTCGCGTTTGAGAAAAGAAGCAAGAACAAACAACTTAAAATGGCAGCGACGGCCACTGAGTCACCCGCCCCTCACCGGCACCGCCCCGAACCCTCTGCGGCTGCGCTCGCCGCGCGCCTCCACCATCTACGAAGGAATAAAGGGGGAGATAGGACCGGAAGGCGGGAAGGTTGTCATGGTTACTAAGCATAGAGGAAAGAAGAGCCAGAGAAGCGTATACCAAGGCCTTTAAAGTGCTGTGTCTTTAAAGTAAAACTTCCTAAGAAATATGTCCTCCTCGAATGGAAGCTTAAGAAAAGATACTCTCCTCTCCTCCAGAATGGAGTTTCTATGGGGCGGGGAAAGGACCTCGCCGCCACTCCCTCCGCCCCTCCGTCCGGATATCCCAGTCCCTTGAGTTAGTTCTTCGTCCCGCCCCCTGATGACGTCATAAACATCGCCCTTCGCCCGCCCCGGCAAGCACCCGGATGGAATTGCTTCCACCGCCTACACTTACCATTCCCCCCCACCCCCGTCTACATGTCACCCCCACCCCGAGAGACACACATACACACACACACACACACTCGTCAGCCTTGAGTTGGGTTGGGCGCCAGACCGAGCGGAGAAAGCAAGCTAGGCGGGCCCAGGACGGGGAAGTGGGCGGAGTGAGCGAGGATGGGGGCGGAGTGAAGGAGGAAATAGAAAGTGTATTGGCGGGGTCTTAGGGGAGATTCTCATTTCACCTCATTATGCTTCAATTCCTAACACCACTAACTGGTAGTCATTCTAGGGGTCTGCCTTGGAGTATCTTCCAGGGACTGGCTGCGAATTCAATTCCGATACTTGAAATTTACAATACGTGTAGCAGAAAAATCTGATGTTGGTCCCTTGGGTTCTGCCTTATCTCCCCACGTGCAAGCCTGGGAGGCTGCCTTTAAGCTTTGAGCAAGGTCAAAGCAGTGGAGTGACTAGGGTTGGCATCACCTCCCCTCCCCACCATGAACCTCCTGGGTACCAGATCATACAGAATCCTTAGGAATGGTGTTAATTTTAATTACAATGTCTGATAAAAACAGTGGTCACGTTCGTAAACATAGTATTTGTTAGATTATATAAATACAGATAAAAAAGTTTTGTGAACATCTTTCTACATTAAATTATACCATTAGTGGTGGTGTGCCGTGGAGTCCATTCCGACTATAGCGACCCTGTATAAATCTTTAGGGACACAGTCTCATCTGTCTCCCAGGGAATGCCTGGTGGATTCAAACTGCTGACCTTGTGGTTAACAATGCAACCCTCTATGCTGCCAAGGGCTTACATTTTTAGTAATTGAGTAATAATGGCAGCTCTGACAGGGCGCATTACAAGGTTCAAATAGTTAATTGTTGTTGTTGTTAAATGCAGTGAAGTCGATACCGACCCAAAGAGACCCTGTATAGGGTTTCCAAGGAACAGCTGGTGAGCTTGAACCACCAACCTTGCAGTTCAAACGGCTTTGCAGTCTGACGCATTAACCCACAGCGCCACACTATTAGCATAGAGTTCTATGCTTTGTAGGTGTGTTGATAAGCAGCTCTGGTAGCTTAGTGGTTCCGAATCGGGCAGCTAATCTCAAAGTCAGCAGTTCAAAACCACCAGTTGTTCCGCGAGAGAAACACGAGGCGATTTGCTCCAGTAAAGATTTACAACCTCGGTCATAAATATACAGGGTCGCTATGAGTCAGAACTGACTCCATAAACTGGGTTTATGAAAAATGTTTTTCTTCTTAAGACTAACTATGGTGATAAATTTCGAACTGCTGGTCATGAGATTAGCAGCCCAACTTGGAACCACTACGCTACCAGAGCTCCTTTATGACTTTATTATGTTGTTGTTGTTATGAGCCGTGGAGTCGGTTCCGACTCATAGTGACCACGTACAGGGTTTCCGAGACTGTAAATCTTTACACGAGCTTTCAAGCCTCATCTTTCTCTCGCGGAATCGAACTGCCAACCTTGAGGTTAGCAGCCCAATTCGTAACCACTATGCTACCAGAGCTCCTTATGACTAACTATAGAGATATGAAAAATAATAAATTTTTGCTAAAACACAGCACAAAAAGTTTATAGACAGACTTTTTAGTGTCATTGCTCTGACAGTGTCACCTGTAGGTGCGGCCCATATCCCTCCTCTCCCACATCCCCCTCTGTTTAGACTTTCAGTTAAAGATGTGCAGACTACTGTTCAAAAAAATCTGCTGGTATCCCAGGAGAAAGGATATTTACTCACTATCTTTGCCTGGTAGACCCTATTTGTAGAAGAAAACCCAAACGCCATAAAGAAATTTTGGGTTGTCAAATTTGGTTTTTGTGTGTGTGTGTGTTTTTTTTTTCTTTATTCCGCCCCACCTTGTCTACACTGACATCAACAGCTTGACTATTTATTAGTTCTATTTCTAAGCTCTTTCTTGATTCCAGATGTCGCTCCTACAATTCCAGATGGTATTACTAATTATTGCTTGGAATGTGCCTAGAACAGTTGTAGGAGCTCTGGAGGCACAGTGAGTTATACATTGAGCTGCTAACCAAAAAGTCAGCAGTTCAAACCCACCAGCTGCTCCATAGGAGAAAAATGAGGCTGTCTACTCTTATAAAGATTTACAACCTCGAAACTCTACGTTGTTGTTAAGTGCCATCGAGTAGATTCTGACTCATAGACACCTTGTATAGAGTTTCCGAGGAGTAGCTAGTGAGTTTTAACAGCCGATCTTAAAAGTTCAAACTGACCTTTCAGTCCAGTGCATTATCCTACAGCACTATACCAGGACTTA